ATTAACTTCTATTTCTGTTCAAAAGACTGTGTAAGATTATAAACCGTACGATTGGCGAACCAAACTACTCCTTAGGAAATATAAAATGATATACGTTTAAACAACAATGCCATGCCAACTTGATGGGTGGGATAGTTGAATAGTTGACAGGGATCGAATGAAATTGTCAGGATCTTGAATTTCATGACATGCCGAGTCACGCTTCATCACAACCACTACTGAAGTCTGACGAAACACGTTTTTCCTACCTCGGATTTCCGCCATCTTTAATTTTACCTTATGCTAATCTTTGGCGATATTTTTTTTTCTCTAATTGTACAGTTTGCAATTAGGTTGCGTGCTTACCACGATAATTTTATGATAACTCTTAATTATTTAATTCAGTTTTCACTTCATCACGCTGTCCATCTAAATTGATATGAACATTAAAACAGGAAAACAAAAAACAAGCAAAATATGAAAGTGATACCTTTTGCGGTGCGCTTTGCTAATTACTCTCATCAAAATATTAAATTTAATTTTTATATTTAGAGTGCAAATGCATTTTTGTTATTCAATTAGGAAAAGAAAAATAACAGAATTTCTCAATGCTTAATTTCTTAGATAGTTGAGTATAAAAATTTTGATATTTGGATTAAACATAAAGAAAGCAGTAGTTTTTCACGTATGAAAATTTTTAAACATCATCATCTTTGTACAGAATAAGCCCACAATATTTGGATATACAAAACTCTCCGTCGGGCAACCGCCTGATATCATTTAATAGATTTAAAACATTTACTCCATCCAGGGGATAAAAGATGAATAAATGATTGATGAAAAATCCGGCTATAAAGGAGGACGCTTATAATCAAGCAAAGTTGATGGAAAGCGAACAACAAAATTCTGTAAAAGTTTGCGGAAACGATGCCTCAATATTGAGACTGAAAAACTCAATAAATTATTTTAAAAAATACTATTTACATTGTTCGGACTATTTTCTTCATCCTTATTGTCATATATACGACGTTTCAGTCGATGTACGCTCTGGCTTTCATCAGGCGAGATACGTACTGAAATGTCCCGAAAACTGATATATTTGTTCAAAGTAGCAAAGTGGTTGTGGACTACTTCAACCGAGTAGGACAATCTAACAGATAACCGTAATGGACTGGTCCTCGTCGTAGTGGTAGGCAATAGGCGTAGGCAATAGGCGAAGACAATAGGCGTAGTCCATGTACCTCCACATTAGTCTGTATTTATGGCTGACACCAGCCAATCATATTACTGTGAAGGAGAACCAAAGTGTATGCATATTCATTACATCACGTACCCTGCCTTTTCTGGATATCTCAGATTATGTTATTTCATTTTAGTAACTTAACTCTCCAAGTGTTTCTTCAACTCTACTGTGGCCAGGTATTGAACTCACAACTCTTTGGGTCAAGTCGCTGGATTACTTCAACCAATGCATTTATCCAAAGACCACCGGATAAAAGCGTTGGTTGAAGTAATTAAAAAAGAGACTTGACATAAAGAGTTGTGAGTTCAATACCTGGCCACAGAAGAACAAAAACTAATACTAAATGATATTAGCTGAAAAGTCATGGCACGTGGAACTAGAACAATCTACAACGGTGGATGAAATAAAGGGTTTCCTTCGAAATTCTAACCTATACATCACGTAGAAGGCCGGAGCGTCAATCAGCCGAAACGTTGTGAATATGATAATAAAGATGTGGAAAACAATATGAACAAAGTAAATAGTGTAAATAGTTACAAAACCTCATTTCAGAAATATAGACAGATGGTGAAGAAGGCCGGAGCGTACAACGGTCGAAATGTCGTGAATTTGACAATAAAGATTAGAACAACATTCCGAACAATGTAAATAGTATAAATGGTTACAATACCGCACCACAGAAATATATATATATATATCTTTTGAAAATATTTACTAAATTGATATCTTTCTTTACTTACTTTCTATCAGCTCTGCCTTGTTAATCATTTCTTATTTAAATACTTGGATTACCGAAAGTCTAAATTTTGGGTTCACTCAGTTCAGCAACAAAGGGAGCCTTTCTTCGTGAAGAGATAAACAATATTAAAAATCAGGTTACAGGATTCATTTTACTAAATTGTTCATCCAATAAAAGGCCTAGTAATTTCTCAAGGTAATAAATGAAACTTGTTGGCCCTAAGAGAAGGAAGTAAGTGCAGATTACAAGGATATATACGATAATAACAGTTGATCTCTAGACACTTACGGGCTATCAACCTTTTACAGACTATTTAATGCAGATATTTTTTTATGGTAAGAATTTTTGGAGATAATAATCATTTACTGATACAAGTTCTAATATTTAACCTATAACTTAGAGAGAGAGGAGGTGAATTCATAACTTTCCCAAGTGTATTTGCGCGTAAATAGATAAAAGAACCAGACGGGAATTAGAACCCGGCCTTCCGATCCCTAATTCCGAGCTGTTATTCCATTACACCACCCGCACATCCAAGTTTACAGTACCTGGTATTGCCAAACGGTCACCCATCTAAGTACTGACCAGGCTCATGATTGATAAACTGATGTGATCGTACGGGAACCGGAAGTTGAACGTGATATGGCCGCCGTAAGCCACACGGGATCATCTTAAGATTTTAGTAAGCATTGAAGCCTCGTTTTGATAATCTGTTACATAAAGAAATATTTCTAAGAAAAAAATGCTCTCAGAGTGGAGCATATTTCTTACCAATGGAATACAAACAGATGTGGTTGTGTTAACCCTGTGCATGTGGCAAGGCGGCTCTTAGCTGGGAAAAGTTTAAACTGGTGGAACTTAGAAATAGAGCTGTGTCTTGTGAGCAAAGGGGTAGTATTGTTGAAAATAATTCCTCATTCGCAAAACCACGTAAAAGCTTTTGAAGACTATCGACGCTGGAAAGTGGGGAATAGAAATATGGCAGCAATAGTCTATTTTTGTGCTGATCTGATTTTTTGTAAAGATAAAGCATAACACGAGGCTTCTGGTATTTTTTGCAGGGATACAATGAACTAACTATTTATACCGCTTGGCTTCTTGTTGTTATTACGCTAAATCTACTTGAATCTCTTACTCTGGACATTGCCACATCCAGCTGACCATGAGATAAATATTTGAATACTCTTTTGATTTTGTATTTTTTTTTTTTAAGCATTGTGCCCCAAGCAAGGCGTGAAGCCACTAGGATGCAGGGGGTTGCGGAAGATTTGGAGCGAGAGCAGATAAGAGTGATAGGAGAAAGGAAGAGGAGAAGGATAGAGGGTAGATCAAGGTAATTGGAGATGTCGATTGACATTACATTTAAATAGTTGGAGATTATAGCTTTCAGGGAAACAGTAATTGGGGAGGGTGTTCCACTGGCGAGAGGTGCGAGGTATGAAGCTATTGGAGTAGAAGAGGCGGCTACATTTGAAGGTTTCTACGGTATAAGGGTGAGAGCGGGATGCCAGCCTCGTAGGGCGCTTGAATTCATGGAGTCTGGCAACCAGAGAGAGCAGCTCATCAGAGCAGTTACCATGGAAGTATTTGTAGAAAAGACATAGAGAGGCGACGGCGCGTCTGTGAGAGAGTAACTGCAAACAAGACGCTAGATCAGGGCCAATTAGATTACATATCCTTCTCTGGATCTTGTCAAGAACTCCGAGGTAAGCAGAAGGTGCTCCAGCCCATATATGGCAGCAATACTCCATGCAAGGGCGAATGGTTGTTTTGTATATTTGAAGTATCGATTCAGGGGAGAAAAATTTCCTGGCGCGGCACAGAGAGCCAACTTTCCTCGCGGTGGAAGAAGCAATTGACTCAATGTATTTGTTCCATCTCAGGTCAGCAGTCAGCGTGAGACCGAGCAGACGCAGGGAGTTGCTCTCAGGAAGTTGACTATCAGACATTTTAATGGGGGGCAGGGAAGGATCTCTATGGTGGTTAATGGAGAGTAATTTAGTTTTTGTGGCGTTAAGGTTGACCAACCAATTCTTGCCCCAGTTAACAACCGATTGGAGATCCATTTCAAGACGCACGGCAAGGTTAGTTTTGTCGCCGACACTAGACTTGTTTTTGAGGCAGGAGTAAATTGTAGTGTCGTCTGCATAGATGCCGACTTGGGAATCTATAGCTCCAGGAAGGTCATTGATGAAAATAAGGAAAAGAGTGGGGCCAAGGATGGAGCCTTGGGGCACACCTGCGTTAGTGGGATAGGAACTGGAGGAGAATCCGTTGAGAACGACCTTCAATTATCGGTTAGACAGGAATGATTGTATTAGATCAAACAGTTGACCAGTAACACCATACCCCTGGAGCTTACGAAGAAGGCCGGCGTGCCAAACCCTATCGAATGCTTTGGAGATGTCGAGGGCCACAGCGCGAGCCTCACCGTTATTTTGAAGGGCTTGGTAGATGGTTTCAGTGATGGCCGTAAGCACCATTAATAGTAATAAAAGAAATTATTTTTATAAATTTAACATCTTCTAACTTACTTATATAGTTCTGATAATATTTTATTAAGAAGACAATTTTGATTTGTTTAAATAATTCCATTATTTTATCGCTTAACCCTTCGACTAACTCTTAATAATATGATACGTCAGACAACGACAATGGTTACTATGAACGCTAGAGCAAATAAGAACGTAACTAGCGTTGCAAGGCATAAAAATAATAGAATTCTATAAACATTTTAATAGTTTTAAAAATTATTTATTATTAAAAATTATTAGACATTGATATTTTTGAAGCCAAGATGACATTTGTTGTACTTTTACTTGTAATGTAAGAACACTGATATTTTTCTTCTAACTTACAACTGATTTTTTACAAGGCATGAATAGATATTTTCTATACATACCCGATGAATTAAAATGATATCGACACAAAAATTTTTGCAACTTTTTAAACTTGAATTAAAATTTAAATACATATAATACTAACGCTTTAATCTTGTATGTATGTATGTATATATGTATGCATGTATGTATGTATGTATGTGCTTAAACGATAGATAATATCCTAACCAATTGGGAGCCATAATGTACATTGAATCCCTAATGAGTGCATTGCCGACTTACATTAAAATTAGACAAGGGATTTTATTTTAGCTCGGGAAGTTTTACTGTTTTTACGATACATTGAATAGAATAGTCAGTATTTGTTTGCCATATACTTTATATCAATCCGTGTAGAAAACAAACATATTAAATTCCAAATAATATACATGTGAAAAATAATAAACATTCATAATACATTATAACAAAATTAATAAATGAATTTAAATACAGGTAACACAACATATATTTATACACGTCATTTCACTTTATTGGAACTTTTTCATAAACACATATCTCCAATGTTTGGCAATTAGTTGATAGTTGCAGAGGCTGTGTGTCATGGTAAAACTAATCGGTACGGCTGGAAAATTGTATCACCTGACTTGATGGTAAATAAATAAATGCACGCTGGTTTACCGCCGTTCCGTATTTTGAAATAAATGGAAAGAAACAATTAATTATAATAAAATATATACTTATAATTTGGAAAAAAATTACTCAGAAAAATGAAACTAAATGCACAAAAAGGAGGATCCGTATTTTATGTTATTTCAATAAATATGAATCTCCGTAAGCAGACGATTGTTGTTTGTTTTATTTATTTTTTTAATTACCTTCACTTTTGAAAATGATATGATTAATGCTAAAATTGGTATAAATTGTCATCCTGGGGTTACTACTTCTTGATTCTATTCACGTGACAGTAGGTCTTTAGTGTGATTTCCTTTTTCAATTCTACTCTAAAAAAATCTAAACTTTTTCTTGTTACATTATTTACATTATTCGGACTATTGTCCTCATCTTTGCCGCCATATTTATCACAACGTTTCGGCCGTTGTACGCTCCGGCCTTCTTCAGGTGGTTGGAATGTCAAATTAAACCCTTTATTTCGCTCACTGGAGTAGACTGTTCTAGTTCCACGTGCCATGTTTGATGGATGTCAGTTATCAGTTATCTCCTGTTAATTTCCCTCTGAAAGTTCTCCACTGCCTTAACCTGGTATTGAACTCACACTCTTTGGGTCCTGTCACTGGCTCTAACCAACGCGTTTATCCACTGTGCTATGTGTCCTTGAGATAAATATGGCGACAAAGATGAGGACAATAGTTCGAATAATGCAAATAATGTACATAATACCTCATCTCAGAAATATAGACAGATTTTTCTTATTAATTTCTTATTTCGTTTGATCCAAGTAATATTGCATTATGTGAGTAATAATAATTATTACAATAACTTGTATTCCAAATACAAATTAAAATATGTGTACTTAATAATAAAAGTAATAATATTGTTACTTCATTAAGTTATATCATGAACTGCTACGGTTTATGATTGGTCTCGTATTTCTTAAAAAGTACTTTGAAAAAAATGTCATGTAATTATAATCGCTTATGTTGTGAACACAATTTGTTGATAACATATATAAATGATTGATAGTAAAAATGATTATTTTGGCGTTATTTTGTTCGATTGATATAGGGTGGGGTATATAGAGAAAAAAATTAGCTATACGCTAATTTATAAAAAATATATATATATATATATATCTCGATGACAGTTGTGAGCAATTTCTTCGTCCTATAACGTAATATATTACCTTATAATCTTATCAGACAGCGTAGACATTTTCACAGGTACACACGCTCACGACTGCTTTCAGAGTAATTGGAAGTGAATCATTATACATAATTTGTTGAAAACTGTTTGGCTCTTAGTACACGTCACGATTACTTAGACACTTGCGCTATTGATTTCATAAAAACTGAATTTGTAAAGTTGCTCGCACAAAATACTATTAATTTGCTCACAAGCATCACCGTATATTTTACACGTTTGTTTGGTATTTTATTTTGAACAGAAGTAAAACTATGGATTGTTATATTTCTGCTTCTAATCTAGAATGCGGAAGTGTTGTTTTGTATTCCTTTATTTGTCTTTTGCATTTCATGATTTGTGTGAGATATATTCGTATGTGGCATATTGCGAATTCACGTGATATCTTTTAATCACTTCACCTCAAGAAAGGCAATGAAAACACTAAGCCTCACACGATTACTGAATGCGAAATACTATGAGAAAAATATTAAGGAGAGACAACAATAAAAGAACATGAATAACAAAAAAAACTGAGATAAAGATTTACATTGAATTTAAAATTTAAAATATCATTGTTGATTAGAAATCAAGAGCCTGGAAAATTGACACAAGCAAGAAGTGCGAGAGAAGTAACTATTAATATGGAACTGACGCTTGCAACTAGCAATTTCAACTGTAAAATGATTGGACATAGCTACACTTAATATCGTAAAGTTAAAACTTACATTTTTTACTAGGCATTTCACTCCCGTTGGGTAGATTTTTTGAAGGCTGCTACATTATCACAAATGGCCTGGCTGAGAAGCGGCTGCATATTTTTACCGATACATCATCTTTAGCAAGAGCAGAGCTATAGAGTTTCTATATGAAGAAAAATATACAGAAAAAACAAACAAAAATCTTAATATGCAATTATGCTGTATTAATGTTAATATAAAGTCAAAGTCGGACG